CACACACACACACACACAGAGACACGGAGATAGACACAAATAAACGTTTTTAAATAAGATTCTCTGCAAAATCATTGTGTAATTGAAACTTAAAATAGTAGGATAGTTTAGTATAAAATTTTAAGTTTTACTTTCACAATGATTTTTTTAGTATCCCTGTGAGCTAACAGTTTAAACATAGAATGGATATATTGTTTCATGTGTATGGATGATTAAATGAAAAAGATGAGGTAAGTTTGACTCATTTTTAGAAATGTAAATTCCTAATTTTGTATAAATTTAAAAAACTTGACTTGCATTGGCTTTTACTGACTAAAAACATTATTTCTATTTATTTTAAAATCATTTATGCGTTTGCCCTTGAGACAAGTTGGTGGGTGCATTTTTTATCAAAACCATATACACGGTGACATATTAAATGTATCATATTATTATACTAATCATATGACTCTAGAAACAAAAGTAACCAGAGGACTAAAGCCTATCAAAACCATCTTTTTGTTTTTGTACAATGAAATTCTTTTTAAATTTGCCAGGGAATTCATAGTAATATTGAAACCAGATGTAGACTTCCGTCTTGTAATGTCTTAGCTCAGCTACAGAAGTCTCATTTCCATCCCTGATTGCTGAGTGCTTCGTTTGTGGCTTATAATCTCTCTCTCTCTGTCTCTCTCTCTCTCTCTCTCTGTCTCTCTGTCTCTCTGTCTCTCTGTCTGTCTCTCTCTGTCTCTCTGTCTGTCTCTGTCTCTCTGTCTGTCTCTCTGTCTCTGTCTTTCTCTCTGTCTCTCTCTGTCTCTCTCTGTCTCTCTCTGTCTCTCTCTGTCTCTGTCTCTGTCTCTGTCTCTGTCTCTCTCTCTCTCTCTCTCTCTCTCTCTCTCTCTCTCTCTCTCTCTCTCTCTCTCTCTCTCTCAGAACAGACTGTAAAATGCCACTGAAATGATTCAAACTTGACAGTGCCCATCCGTGTAGGGACAATGGAATTGAATCTCAGTGTGTTGAGGGTCACCCAACTAACCCGTCCACGCACTCTCCCTTCTGATGATTTCCTCTTGCAGAGTTTCTTAGCAGAGGCCTGGGTGGACATGGATCTTTTCCATCCTAGAGCTGAAATCTTCACCATTCCATTCTGTTGGAAGGTAGTAGATTGCCTTTGCTGCATTTTTTTTTTTTTATCTCCAAGGGGTTTTCAGCACATCCTGATTGTCTTAGTTAGGCTCTCTGTTGTGATAAAATATCATTCCCCACATCAACATGGAGAGGGAAAGGGCTTGTAAGTCCACTCCCGAGGGAAGCCAGGGTAGTGACCAGGAGGCAGGGGCAGACAGGAGCACTACTGGCCTCCTCCTAATGGCTTGCTCAGCCCGTTTTTTTCTAGCACCCAGGACCACAAACCCAAGGGTGGTACCACCCACAGTGGATGGGCCCTCCCTCATCATTCATCAGTCAAGACAGTGTGCAGCAGGCTCTCCCACAGGCCTGTCTGGTAGGAGTCCTTTCTCAGCTGAGGTTCCTTCTTTCCAGATGACGGTAGCTGACGTCACACTGACGCAGGACTGACCCTAGCACACTGACCATTTGAGATGGTCTGTCTGTTTGTACTGATAAGGCTTTTTATAGAAGTGAAACACTGTGATACCTTAAGTTTTATTAAGTGATGGGATTAAATTCCACATGAAATTTCCCCACTTCGGCTAAAGCTATAATTTATATATAAATAAACAATTAAAAACCGTTTATTTCAAAATGGAAGTCCATGTCTTAGGAAGGTGAAGGTCTGCTTTTTGTTTTGATAACAGATGATGAGGGTGCATCTAAAAGACACCAGGTAAGCATGATAGATGGGCGCCTGCGTTGGCCTACTATGTGGTTAGTGTCCACCACTAAGAATGGACAGTTTCTGTCTGCTCTTCGCTGTCTTCCACAACGCCGCTTGAGTCCTGGGCACAGGGGCTGTGTTGTAGCTGTGTCAGTTTTGGCTGTGGGGTCCCATGGTAGTTGGTATCTGCATTTTGATTAGTTGTGGTTTTCTGTGATGATCTCTTGCTGCCTCAAAAAGGAAGCTTCCTTGTCTGGGTCTGTGCCATGTGTGGAGGCTGTGGGGTCCCTGGTAGAAGGCAGGGCTGGGGTTGGTGGCCAGACGGGAAGGAATGGAGACGGGCTGACCAGAAACATTGTCTTTTGTTCCACACATCCCACACTGAGTTATGCTACTCCATCTGGGGTCACGCCCTAGGGTTTATAAAGAGCTGGGACATAAGCAGCACTCTGATCTCCTGCTTTCTGAGTGTGACTGAAAACTGTTGACTTAGAAAGGGGAAGAGCCATGGGCTTAGACTGGTGGTCACATTGCAAGCAATTGTATGTTGCCTCGGTTTGAATGAACATCCTTCTCAAGGCCGTGAGTTCAAGACTTGGGCCTCAGGGTGATGATGTTGGGAGGTGGAGAGACCGTTAGAGGTGGGGTCCTCAGGCTGTCAGGGTGTCCCCTCAGTGGGCCTCACTCTTCTTTTACACCTGGTTTGTGGTGTAATCATTTTGTCCCGGGCCAGCCTCTTTGCTTGTTGCTTAGCCTTGGCCTGCTTTCCATACTGAGCTCTCATGTTAGTGTCCTCAGCCACTTGTTACAGGGACGGGAAACTCACGCACATACTCACACCCACCACTGGACATGGAAGCTTGCTTCTCCTTTTAGTTATATGAATAACGTTGTGACTATTGGTGCAGATCCCTCTTTGAGATTTTTGTTTTCAGTTCTTTTTATACTTTCTGAAAAGTGGAATCCCTAGATTAAAAAGGTAACTCTGTTTAACTTTTAAGGAATTTCTATGTGGTTTTTCAAAATAATGATACTATTCTACATCCTTCTAATAGCTCAGAAGTTTAAATTTCTTCAGATTTTTAACAGTTTTTATTTTGCTTGGATAATAACACTAACCCTGAAAGATGAATTGGCATCTCATTGTGGTTTTCAGTTATTACTTTAATTTCGATTATTAGTGTATTGAGGATCTTTCCCTGTGATTATTCGCCATTTTTATATCCTTTAAAATATTTATTTTATTATTTTATGTACATGTCATGCACCCTCATGGGATTCTGCCTGCTTTGGTGCCTGGAGTTCAGAGGACTTTGTGTAAGTCGGTTCAGTCTTGCTACCTTGCTGAGGCTGTTTCTTTTGTTTTGGCTGCATCGTGCACTCCAGGCCTGCTGATCTGGAAACTGAGATGAAAAATGGATGCAGCTGCTTCTGGCTTCTTATGAGTTGTGGGTTAGACTCGGGAGATGAGGCTCGTGAGCGTCCTCACCTGGTGACCCCCTTGGTCCACTTCGGTTGTCTCTGAGGAAGTATCTATGAGGTCCTTTGCTTTAAAATGCTTTTCTTTATTGTTGACTTCTGAGAGTTTTCTGTATATTCTGGAAATCATTGTTTGATCACAAAATAACTTTCATTTTTGCTATTTTAGGGATTGGATTAGCTGTAACTATACAAATTTTAAAAGGAATCCATGACCCCCCCCCATTTGTGTTTCTTTTGTGCTTGTAACCCTGTGGCTGTCCCATGCTGTGGGGACATCCCTTGCTTTTGCTGTCTTTCTTTTCTAAGCGGTTTGGATTTAGTCTTGCATTTCTGAGTTAATGTTTGGGTATGGTGCTGTGTAAAAGGATCCTTCTTCCTCTGTCAATGATTTTGATAGGCTTGTTGAAGATCACGTGACTAGAGAAACAAGCTATTTCTGAGATCACCATTCTGTGTCACTCATCTGTTTGTCTTTCCTTACGCCAGTGAATTAGTAAGATTTCAAATTAGGATGCAAACTGAGCCTCCTCTTTCAGATAGCCCTGGATATCCAAAGATTCAACTCAACCCTCCTCTGGTTCTCCATTGTATTTTCTTCATCCAGCTGCCATTGACCTCTTTTCTTATGCCTCCCTCTATACCTGGAACATGAGCTCAATCATTTATGTTTGATTCGATTCTGTAGGCATAGATGAGTCATTGGACATTGGTAATTAAGTCACATGTCATGAGTTGGCTGAGAATCTAACCCTCTGATGAACAGGACTGTTTCCTCTAGTGGACCATTTCTATTGTTAATTATTCAGGGTTTCACCAAGAGTCACTTCGTTAGTACAAAAGAGTTTACAATGGATTAACAAGGAGCCAGAGATATAGTTCAGCTGGTAGAGAGCTTGCCCTTGTGTATTGAAGCTCTGGGTTTGGTTTCCAGCACCACACAAACTGGGTGCCAGATGAATCCCTGAAAGCCCAACACTGGAGAAGTACAGGAAGGAGATCAGAGTTCAATGCTATCTGCATCCTGATAGCAAGTTTAAAGCTACCTTGTGAGACCCTATGTGCGCGTGTGCGTGCGTGTGCGTGCCCCTTTCATTTCTTTTGTTCAGCAAATTACAAGGGATTTAGAAATTCTTTTCTAATAATAGAAACCTAGAAAGAAGACTGAATATTTACTTATTGTTATTTCAGAATATAATGCTACAGTATAGGAAAATTTTAAAAAGGTAAATGAAATACTCATTACAAACAGATTATAGTAACTCAGAGGGAAATGTTGACTTCTAATCAAGGTGATTCTTGGAATATGCATTTTTACTTTAGGAACATCATAGATAATTTAAAAGAAATTTAGTCTCCATTCTTCAGTAAAATATGTAGTAATAGAATGACAGTATTATGTGGAGGACAAGAATTTTGTGATTTATTAGCCTTGATCTTTTTGTAGAGGTTCAGTGGCTATTAGAAAGAAGCATTTGTGCCCAGCACTCAGGAGGCGGAACTCTGTGTTCGAGGGCAGCCTGGTCTACAGAGTCAGATATAGGACAGCCAGGGGCTGCTACACAGAGAAACCTTGCTTTGAAAAATAACAACAACAATAACAACAAAACAAACAAACAAAAAGGAATGAACTTGTTACTGATGTTGTCTTCTGTGACCTTATTTGATACGGTATTTCAATAATTTAAAAAATATTCCTTTCCAGTTAACAGAAGATGAAATTGCAACTATCCTAAAATCCACATTGAAAGGATTAGAATATTTGCATTTTATGAGGAAAATACACAGAGATATAAAAGCTGGGAATATTCTCCTCAACACTGAAGGACATGCAAAGCTTGCAGATTTTGGAGTGGCTGGCCAGTTAACAGTAAGTTGCGTTTAATAATTTGGATATATTTTTGACTATTTTTCAGGCTTGTTTTTCACTAAACTGATAATTTATGGAAACAAGGAAAGAAAACTTGTTATTCTTATGGAAAGGAGTCATGTTTGAGTCTATTTATGATGTTAGGGTCAGTAGATAATAAAAGACAGTTTATCACAAAATGCTCAAATTTATGAAAGGAAAACAACATTGAGTCTCTTGGTACATTAATTTTCATTGCTTTTATTGTTATACTATTTTTAGTGGCTGTCTTTAATAAAATGATGAAGAGTTAAAAGTTCTCGGTTATTTTACAAGTTAAGATTCCTAAAATATGTCATGTTGTAACTAGTTTGAAGCATTAGGGAGATACTCAGTTTTTCATAGAATCTGTGTTATTAGTGGATCACGTGTTTTAATGAATATGTTGATATACCTGTTTCCTTTGTGTTTTGTTTAGTACTTACGCTTATACAATGTCATTGCAGGATACAATGGCAAAACGCAATACTGTAATAGGGACCCCGTTTTGGATGGCTCCTGAAGTAATTCAAGAAATCGGTTACAACTGTGTGGCTGACATCTGGTCCCTGGGCATCACTGCCATAGAGATGGCAGAAGGGAAGCCCCCTTATGCTGACATACATCCGATGCGGGTAAGGAAGTTGTGTTTCGCTAAAAGCATTGGTTTTGAGTGTTGCAGCTTTGTAGTGGTAGCAAAAGCAAGCACAAAGCAGGTGCATCCTTGTGAGGTTAGCGTCTGCAGAGGAGTAGACTGCCTTCATCGAGTAGCTGCTATTTCTTTCCTTAGTTTCACTGTTTGCTAAGTTGTGAGAAGAGAACTCTGAGGGCCGTCTTTCTCCCACTCAGATACTGCCCTCTCGGTCCCTGCTTTTCAGTAGAAGACATTCACTGTTTCTTTGCTGTGTGGCTCATAGCTTCCCAAAGGCCACCAGAGGCGGTTTAAGAACTCAGTCTCCACCTTCCTGCACAGGCCTTAGCCCCTACCTTCCTGTGCCTTTTCTTGCTTCTTCGTTCTTTAAGCTGATGCTGCAAAGCCCCAGTAGGGCTGGAGAGACGGCTCTGCCGTTGATAGCACCACTGCTCTTCCCAGGACCCGGGTTCAATTCTCAGCGCCCATGGCTGCCCACAGCCGTCTGCTGTAGTGACAGGCCCACCCAGCCTCACCTGTGGCACTGACCCCAGGTGTGTGTGTGTGTAAGCATGTGGTATTTGTTCTGGGGTCCAGGACAGGCTTGCTCTCTCTTGGTTCTGGTCGGGTCAGAGAGCAGTCTGGGTGTGGATGTTTGGAGCAGGAACTTGTGGGTCATTTGTTTCTTATGTAAATGCCTTCTCCCTGAATAGTTTAAACTAAATTTAACCAAGTCCTGTGTTTCTTAGTCTGTCCATCTGCAGTCTGCAACTCCAGTTTCTTGGGTTCTTGTATCATATTCTGACCTCTGTGTCTACTAGGCATACATGTAGTTACATAGGCAGACATGCAGGCAAAATACCCATACATGTAAAATAAAAAAAAATTTTTAAGTCCTCATGTTCAATGATGCTATCTGTCTGTAAGGAAACTAAGTATATTTTAATTGATTATTTATTTAAAAAATACACCCTTCTTTTTTTGCTCACTGCTACCTGTCTCCGTGAATTCATTTCCATGATAATCTTTGCGTTTGCAGTATATTCCTTACATATTCAAGTCTAGCTTGTCATGTTATAGGATTTATAATGATATCATTTTACGATTATACGATTATACTAATATGTGACTCTGGCATAGATGTGTACATTTATCTTTATATATATTTATTGCCATCTAGTGGCTGTAGCTACCCTAGGAAGACTATAGGAGTGAAGGGGAAAGACTGTGCGTGTGTGTGTGTGTGTGTGTGTGTGTGTGTGTGTATAGAAAAAAATAGATAGGGTGACTTGGAGAGGTAAGTGAAGTAAATAGATGGAGGAAGAAAGAAGGGAATACTTTTGAATATCTAATGAGGAATAAATTGGGATTTTGTTTAATATTACAATGATACAGATAACTACAGTATTGAAAATACTTAAAAATCTACATGCCATATTGAGGCACATTTTAGTGGTACAGTTCTATTCCATTCATATTTTCTTTGTATGTGTAAACTCCTCTGGCAATATTAAAAAGGAAAAATGGCATAAATTATGTATTTGAAAACAACATGAAAAATAGCAAAGTCAGCACAGGAACACAAACTCTCATTGTTCTTTGAGTATCTGTTGCCTCTGGTACTTTGTCAAGGTGTTTGTGGGGTGATTCTCTAGTGGGATCTAATTGAGTCAAGAAAAGGTTACATACCGCTGAGTTCTAGAAGTGGCTCTACATTGTTAGAGCTATTCTGTTTCTACACTTATAAAGGCTCAGCACATTAAAACCTTTCTGCCAGATTAAAAAGATTGTGGTGTGTGGCTCCTGCTTTAATGATCTCTGAACTCACTTGAGGTTGAATATATACAAATGAGTAAAAATATATTGGAATGCAACATTTCTCTTTTAAAAATATCTAGATACACTGTATATATTGCAAACATCTTCCTAGAATGCCTTGGTGTTTTTTCTATCGTTTTAAATCCTGCCAGATTTTGAAGTTCCAATTCAGGTTTTATTTGTTTACTTGTTTGATTAACATGTATTGCATTTTGCCTGTGTGTGTATGTCTGGTGTGTGCCTGGTGCTCACAGGCCAGAGAGGGCATCGGGTCTTCTGAGACTGGAGGTGTTGATGGTTGCGAGCCGCCACGTGGGTGCTGGGAACCAAACTTCGGTCTTCTAGAAGAGCAGCAGTACGGACCCATCTCTCCATCTCCTCAGGGTTTATTGGCAACTGCAGTCTGTACAGATTTCTGTTTTTCTTCTCATAATTTGCATATAGAGCATACGTGACCGACTCTGGTTTTTGGATGGCTGTCTTACGCATTTCCAAATGTAACAGACTGCTTTGTAAGTAGTATTGAGTCTTTCTTGTTGTGAGGTACCTCACAGCCCGTGTTGAGAAGCAGCCCTGTCATGCAGAAGACAGACTTTAGAACCCGACAGCTCCTGTTTCCCTGATGTGAGTGTATCACCTGACTCTTGGTTTCCCACCAGCCTCTTAGAGAACAGAGTTGTCTTGGTTTGCTTGTCACTCAGTGCTTGTCCTTGGGTGGGCCAGCCACAGCAGGAAGCACGGAGGCATGCTTCATGTGTACTGCTGTGAGTCACACAGAATGGGACACTGTGTTGTCCAGGGCGGGTCATTAATAAAGCTAATAACGAAATAATAGAATCAGTACCTTGTACAGTCTCATCCAATCATCAGTGCCTTGGCGTGTGTGTGTATTAGGTGGGGAGGGGTAAGATTAAAAGATTAAGAGGGTCTTACGAGAGTGAACAACAACAACAAAAAGGCCCTAACTCAAATTGGACAGCGAAAAATGTATTTGAAACTGTTAAATCACCAAGTAGTTTAGATGAAACCTTTGAGTAAAGGGTTACATTATTTGTTAATATGATGTAACCTGTCAGTAGCATAACCAAGATTAGCTCAGAGATCGAATTTAGGTCCTTAGTCTGGGCTGCAAGTGCCCTTAACAGCTTAGCCATCTTGTTGACCCCCTTAGCCAGTCTTAATAGGCTTCTGACCATACCAACCACATGTGATAAGAACACTGCTTAATATGGTGCTGACTTCCCAGACTGATGTGGGTTTGCTTAGGTATATCATGGTTTTACCATGCCTTATAGGAGTGATATATGTGACTGCTGCTTCAGAATTTTGAGACTTGAGTCAGTGTTTTGTCCTTGATTTAGTTGTAATGGCCCCTCTTCTATGTACTTCATAGAGTCGTTTGTTAAGTTCAAATGAGATATCTGTGAAACGCACTTAAACTTTCAAGAAAATAGAATTGTTAGGCAGCATTTAGCAGTTACCTTTCAGTTTTTATAAATGGTGCAATTTCTTAAAGATTCCTATTTGATGTTGGTTACCATCTTTCTTAGGGAACCTTTTCCTGTGGGGGAAAAACAAGCACCGTCTATCATTACCTGAACGTGTTGTGTTTGTCCATTAGGATGGTGTTGTGTTTGTCCATTAGGATAGTGTTGTGTTTGTACATTAGGATAGTGTTGTGTTTGTCCATTAGGATGGTGACCCTAGGCATTCCTCTCTACTCAGATGACTTCTGCAGCCGCTACTGGAAGCCACATGGAAATAATGGGCCATGCAGACAGAGATACATCTTCTCTCTTTCTAATGGTGACAAGTGGAGCTTGATCAAAAGTATAAGCTGACCCTGGAAACAAGGGCCCCTTTGCTCAGAGTGATTGAGATTCTGTGTTCAACAATAAGAATATCATGACCCTCAAGGGGTTTTGTGATCTACTATTTGCTTCATCACAATGTATAATTCTGCGTTTTAGTCTCTCTCTCTCTCTCTCTCTCTCTCTCTCTCTCTCTCACACACACACACACATACACACACACACACACACACACACACACATTTATTTTGTATGGACATGGCATCCATTATCTTTCCTCCTCTCCTTGTATTATTATTATTTCTTCACTTCCAGAAAAGCTAAATTAAGAAGTCTAATTACTATCAGAGGTCTTCAGTCAGCTGCTTAAAACTATTTCCTTGTCTTCCTTGTTGTGGTAGCATACTCTAATCCCAGCACTATGGAACAGAGGAGGGTAGAGTTCAAGACCAGCTTGGTCTATATGTTGAGACCTACTTCAAAAAACAAAACAAGCCTTTCTCTGAATTCTTCTATCATATTATCAATAATGTATCTAATAGCACTTTTTTTTTGTTTTTTGAGACAGGGTTTCTCTGTATTTTTTTTTTTTTGGAGGCTGTCCTGGAACTCGCTCTGTAGACCAGGCTGGCTTTGAACTCACAGAGATCCTCCTGCCTCTGCCTCCCACCAATGCCCGGCCTAATAGAACATTTTAATGGGGCATTTGTCTTCTATTTCCTATTAGATCTTAGTTATAAAGAAAGTGTCTTCACATTTATTTTGACTTGAACTATGCATGAAAGTATCAGTAAATGCTTTTGTTTAGTGAATGCCAGCTAAGTTCTCTTTTCTATCTGGAGGTTGCTTCTGTGATGTCCGCATTGAAACCTGGTGAACTTTCTTACAGTAACAAATGTTTGACTTATAACCTAGGACCTGGGAAAGAAACAAAACTTGGCTGTAAATGCTAATAAAATGCGACTTGAAACACCCATCTTTCCTTGTGTCCTGTCTTCCAGCCTTTTGTTTAATACAATTTATTTGAATTTGAAATTGATATTACTCATGTCTTTTTTGAGTACTTTAGACCCTGTCACCTTATTGAAGGAGAGCAGAAAGGAAAGTATTGCCACGCTCTATTTCTGGTCATGCAGCATTGGTTTGCAAAGGAATAGAACTGTTAGACAATGTCATTTCTACTTGTTTTAAAAGACACCATGTAGGATTAGTGTGTTGATCATTACAGATATTGTTTCATTCTCAATTTGATATAGTGACTGAAGCTGGAGAGTAAAGGTAGCAGTTATTGTAGAAAACATACAGTGAATTTGTGGCTTGGAGATTGGTATGTTGATAGGTGTTGATTGTAATTTCAAGTGTACAACACTTGGAA